GGGATTTGTAATTTGGGGAAATATTTGAACTTCTCCCTATTTTCTATTTATCTCTCTTCCAATTTTGCTTTTCTCATATAAGAGAAACTGTGGGTATTTGGGCTTGTAAGTCTGACTTATTTCACCTAACATTATGTTCTCAAGGTGTACCCATTTACCTATGAATGCCTCAGGTATATTTTTTATGGCAGCATAGTACTCCACTGTGTAAAAATACCACATATTCCATCTTCACAGTCAGTCTTCTTTTGGTACCAGCTGTAAAGTGCCTGAGATCCTCTCCTCTTGGAAGCCCTTGCAGACCAACTGGCTCCACAGTTCCAGTGTCATACCTAGGGCCTCTGGAAACCTGGCTTCCAGTTTCAGCCCTGTGATGTGGCTTCCCCATGAGCCTGTCCCAGCTCAGCTTCTCCTTTATGATTAGGGATTAGTAATACAGCTTTCCATGGAATACTGTTTCAGGAGTTTCTTCATAAAGGCCCACATGCCAGGCACCTGGGAGGGACCTTTTGTGCCCACCTGATCCTGGCTCCCCCTCCTCCTGGGATGGGTCTGCAGCTGGCCTCCCTCTCTGTGAGACAAGCATTCTCACCTAACAGCTCTGAGGATGAAGGCCCGGCCCTGAAGTATTCCCTCGGATATGGTCAGGATGAGGGCCAGGGCCAGCTGCCCGTCACCTCCCTGACCCCTGCTCTGACCCAGGCTCATACTGGGGAGCTGGGAATTGGGCCAAACTTACTCCTTTTGTGGAGCTCAGTTCTCTTTGCTGGAGGAACTTGGTTGAAGCTCAAAGGGTTAAGTTTTGGTTAAAGCTACATAGCAAATACAATCCGAGCTCCTACAAAGTCTTGTATCAGGAACATTTATGTGAGATAAATCAAAACAGAGTGCTCTGCCTGAGGCACCATGGCTTCCAGAGCTGCCAAGCCCTGACCTCGGCCCAACCCTCTTCGGCCCTGAGACTCCTCTGTGGTGCTCTGCAGTATCCTGGGATCTTTGGTAAGCGACCACCCCCAGGGGAGAGGGCTGCTGTCCACCTGCTGTGAGGTTGGCTGGAGGAAGCACATCCTGGTGGGCAGGAAGGGCTGGTTAGAGGTCACTGGCATAGCCTGATCCTCACTGGAAAAGCTGTAATCATTGTGTCCCTTGGGTGCCTTACCTGACAGCGAACTCTTTCTTGACTGCAGGACAGACTATAGCTTTCTTATCTCTAGATCTCTGGGGCTCAGCCCACTCTGATACTAGAAAGGGGCTCAAAGTGTCTGCTGATGGATGATGGGGACACATGAAAGCAACAACCCCCTTCAGGAATTAGTACAGTTCATGCCATCTGCCAGGACCAGGACTAAATGGCCCACTTATCCAGTGCCTCCTCTGCCCAGCACGAACACACACACATCCACGGGCTCAGTGTGTCCCCTCTCTCACCTGTGAGAAGACAGCTGGATGTGCAGAGAGAAACCGAGGAGGCCAGAGACCTGGACCTCAAGTCTGAGGGAAGTGGCCAGTGGGAAAGGAGAGGGAGGGAACTCCAGGGAGGTCACTGGGCAGGCGGGGCTGGGGAGGGCCTCATGGGGAGGGGCGCAAGCCTTCCCAGACACCCAGAAATCTTTTTGTCCCAAGTACATGTCCTGACCCTGCAGTTCTTTTCCTGTGCACACACTGCACCAAGCAACAGTGGAATGAGATAACAATCAAAATCCCCCCGCCTGCCAGACAGGATGGACGGAAGGCTGTGTGGCGCTGTTGGGCCTAAAACTCATGGCTTCTTGAATGCTAGGCAAGCTTCTCCACTCAGCAGTGTCCTTAGACCTCAGAAGAATTTTGTTTCAGTACTTGGGATCGAACCAGATTTTCTGTACTGAATAGCAACCCCAGCTCTCTTCTCATTTTTTAAAATTTTGAGGCAAGGTCTTATTACAATGCCTAAACTGGGCTGGAGCTTGTAATCTTTCTACCTCAGCCTCCTATAGTGCTGGGATTACAGGTGTGCCTCACTCACCAAAGCACCAGAGGAAAATCTTAAACCATTGTTAGTCCGTGAGTCCCCACGGAGCTGAACCAAGCCCCACTTCTTACCCTCTTTGCCAGTGTGTGTGTGTGTGTGTGTGTGTGTGTGTGTGTGTGTGTAGTAACAGGAGTGATTTCAGCTTCCCTGGTGGGCCTTCCTGACCCGAGGAGTCAGGAAGAGCTTCAGAAAGGAGAAACTGCAGAACTCAGGGCTGTTCTGCAGGATGCCGCAGAAGTGCTTCTATGTCAGCCCTCTCCTCCCCACTCTCTCCTGACTGGAATAAAGAGGCTGAAGCTGTGACAGTCCAACAGAGAAGGGGTCAAAGCAGCACCTGAGGGAAAGAAATGGGCCTGAGCGGGTAAGGGGAGGGGCCAGGCCTAGGAGGCCTTGCCCACTCCCAGTGTCACAGGTGTAGTGCAAACTTCACTGGGCACCCAAACCTGGGGCATGTGGAATTTGGTCCCAACTTCAGCACCACTGGCTGTACACAGCAGGTTTCATACTTTTGAATTTTGTATCCTCTTTCTCCTTCCTGTCCTACTCTCTTGGCCTGCCTGCTTCGCTGATAAAATTTGTGCTAAAAACTCACAGGTTGCTCATTAAGCTCTCATAAGAATCCCATGAAGCAGTGTTCCTGAGCCCACCACACTGTTGAGGACACCAAGGCTCAGCTGATGGAGCCAGGCCAGTCATGAAGGCTGCCTGGCTGCAGGGTGTCAGCAGACTCATCTAGTCAGGGAGTCTTGGGTAAGAAGAGAAAGCCAGAGACAGTGGCTCATGTCAGTCGTTGGCCCTCGGCCTTCCTACATTGTCCTGTTCCACCCCAGAGGTAAACTCTGGTCTTCCTCTCCTTCCCCATTCCCCTTAAGCCTCCCCTGAAGCCAAGGTGTCTACTCCATGGGGGAGTCAGGGTTTGAGTTTTGGGGAAAGGGCAGACTCAGCTCCTTGGTCTTTCTCTCAGCTACTTCTCACCTTGGAATGGATTTAGGGCAGATATGACTTGATTAATGGGTAAACTGAAGAAAAGTGGCTGGCCTGAGGCCACACAGCTAGTGAATGGCCCAGCAGGACTTAAAAACAAGTTGCCAGCCCTTTTGACTCACAGTGAAGGGCTCTTTCCACCACAGCAAATGGCCCTGCTGCCCAGTGTTCCGTCCAGTGACATTGTCTCCCGCCCAGCCCCTGCCAGACCCTCCTGGGAGACACTGCTTTCCCAGAGCTGCCCTCTGGGAGGGAGCCTGCTGTGACAGCTCTGACCTCCAACAGGCTGTTCTAAATCCCCCAAAGGCCTGGCCTGGGAACAAGCAAGCTAGAATCATGGAGGGAAAAGAGTTTGGGCTTATTTTGGTCCCCCAGAGACTAGGAACCAGGGAACAAACAAATTACCTACAGGCATTATGCAAATACGTCTACTACAAATCGACAACCAGTGGTAGAATTGGGGATGGGTAGATATGGAGGGAAGGGGGGTGTTGGGACTCAGGTACCCTCTGTAGCTGAAAATGTTGCTGAGAGGTTGGAGAGATCCTAATTGCCTATCCCCTCTCCCAAGGAGGGGCCTACCTGGGGTCTTCTGGGGTTTTCTGAAAGCTGGGTGAATGACAGGAAGCTGAAAATTAAGAAAAGGGCTTGAGCTGCAGAGGCCTTGAGCCAGGGACAGGATGGGAGGCAGTGTACTGCACAATGCAAAGGCCCGAGTTTGCATGGAGTGGTGAGCATGGAGCTGGGAAGTGGAGGTGAAGACAGGGGGGGAGTTTACTCTCCCAGTCTCTCAGTAGACTCTGGGAAAGGACCAAAGGTTTGCTCTGGAGGCACAGATTTCTTGCTCCCCCTGAAGGCAGAAATGCAAGCTGTCTTTCCCTACTCTGGGCTTTCTCCTCTTGTTCCCTGGAAGATTCGGTGGCCTGTATCCCCTTCTCCTAGCAGCTTTGGTTCCCACCACCCCATTCCTCTGTGATTCTGCTCCAACTCCCAGCAGAAGCAGCTTACTCATCCCCCTCTGGACAGAACCCCTCTTTTGGCATCCTGACATTGAAGAAAGGGGCTGTGGGGTCCTGGGATCCTGGGGTCCCCAATAACTCACAGGGTCCTCTCCTAGTAGCCAGACAAGGATTTCTCAGGCTAGGATCTTTGCCTGGTACCTTGCTGAGCCAGGGCCTGCCCTGAGTTAGTGCGGATGGACTCCCACCTACCAGAGGCTTCAGGTGGTACCTAGGGGAGGCCTAGGGGCACTGGGCCCCCCCTGCATTGTACCAGGGGTCAGCAGCCCGGGTTTGTTGCCCTGGTCCTTCAAATTTGTCCTGTGACCTTCTGAAGTCTCTGTTTCTTGGTCTTTGTCTGAGGAACTGGACCAGATACCCTACAGCTTATCTGCTGTGCTGTAAGGAGGGAGGAGGAGGAAAGTAAAGGACCCCAGAAGGGGAGACACTGATGCTAAGCACTTCATGAGCCTCAGCGTCTCATCTGCAAAATAGAAACTGCCACTGGGCTGAAAGACAATTGTAAAAAATGGATGAGGAAGAAATATAATGACTCAGGATAGAGCCTGCAAAGTAACTGTTGGAAGGGTGTGAGTTCCCGAGAATGCCAGGGACTAGTTTCCTGGGAAGAGCTAGCTTTAGGATTAGAGCAGGGTGCGCGGGCTGTCGGGGGCCGTGTGTGTGTTTGGGGAGGGGGTGTACTCTGCGGCCCTGCAGGTGAGGCGCTGCTATGTAAAGCGTGGCAGGGTCTCTGGAAACCACCCCAGGCTGGCTGCCGCATAGAGCGGGGAGGGCGCAGACACGTGGAGGCTGCAACCCGTACAGTCCTGATGCCGGATTCACACATCTTCAGAAAACTCACGTTTTCCCAGCCCATTTCACACAGAATCACTTCCTTTGTCTACAGGAGGGGGTGAAGGAGGAGACGGAGGGCGAGGAGGGAGGGGCCCGCGGTGCTGCCGCCACCCCCGCCCCCTACCGCTCCCGGTGTGCGGAGCCCGACTGTCACTGTGCTCCCGCGCCTGGGGCGACAGAGGAACGGGAGCCGGAGTGGAGTCCTAGTTTCCTACCACCCCCACCCCCTGGACCGATCGAGCCAGCCCTGGCTTCTCCAGGTATCTCCGGGGGGAGTGAGAAATGAAGGCGTCGAGGTGAGGGGGTACTGGCACTGGGCGGCTCAGGTGGCCAGAAGCAGTGCCAGTTTTGGTGTGACCTTGGGTAAGTTTGCGCTTCGGTTCAACGCGGCGGGGGGGGGGGGGGGGAAGGGGGCCCCAGGGAGGGTGCGGGAGAGGGAGTTACGGAGCGACTGGAATGCACCCTTGGCGCAGGCAAGGGTTCCCAGCAGAGCTGGAGCAGGACCCGGAGGCTGCGAGAACCCGGCGCCGGCGCCGTCTTAGGTGGGTGGGCGCAGGGAAGGCGTGCGCGCGCGCCGGGGAGTGAGAGCCCGCCCCCGGGCTGGGCCTGAGCGCAGTCCCCTACCCACGCTTGCCACCCTAGCCCCAGGTGCGGAACTGGGGCGCTACCTCTTTAAAAGCGTCCGGGGCTGAGCCTCTGCCGAACCATGTGATTGCTTGAAAGGCCGGGCTAGGAGCGCTGCGGCGGGAGCCCCAGGACGATGAGCTGCCGCGCGGTGCTCAGAGCCCAGCCCTGCCCGGCGCGGCCCCGGAACTCTGGGCAGCACCGTGTGCTGGGAACTTCGGGCACCGCCTCTGGGACACCCTGCCGGCCAGCAGGCAGGATGGTGAGCTCCCTGCATCCTGTTCTGTGGACACAGGGTGGGCAGAGCCGGGCGCGCGGGACCCCTGTGGGACGTGCGTTTGCTGTGAGCTGCCTCACACCTGATACAAAGCCACTGGTGGAGTGAGTGATGCTATTTTAAGTTGCTGAACGGAACCTCTGGAGCTGCTAAGGGGAGGGGACAGTTAGGAAGGGAGGGGTCCGGGTACCCTGGCCTATCTGGCAGGCACTGCATGTGCCAAGTGGGGAACGTCTCCTCGGGGCTGCCTGGACCCCCCACCTCCAGGCAGGCCTCCCCACCCCAGGCTTCCTGACTACAGGTGCCTGCTTCGTGCCCCGTGGTGCCTGTCTGCTGATGTGCCCAGCCTGTGCCCGCCATGTCGCACTCCATCTCGGCCTTTCAGGCCGCCTATATTGGTATCGAGGTGCTCATCGCCCTGGTCTCAGTGCCTGGGAACGTGCTGGTGATTTGGGCTGTGAAGGTGAACCAGGCACTGCGGGACGCCACCTTCTGCTTCATCGTGTCACTGGCGGTGGCTGACGTAGCCGTGGGGGCCCTGGTCATCCCACTGGCCATCCTTATCAACATTGGGCCACAGACCTACTTCTACACCTGCCTCATGGTGGCCTGCCCTGTCTTGATCCTCACCCAGAGCTCCATCCTGGCCCTGCTGGCCATAGCTGTGGACCGCTACCTCCGCGTCAAGATCCCACTCCGGTGAGTTCACAGAAGCAGGTGGCTTGAGGTCCATCTAGAGAGCTTAAAAGATCGAGCAGCCAGTTCTCCCAGCCCTTGTGCCCCAGCTCACTCTGTCCTCCTGTGCTCTGCGCTGTGGTGTCAGGCTGAACTGCAGCTCAAGTAGCAGAGGGGGCTGGGTGGTAGGAGGGACATGAACCTGACAGTGTTCAAGACTCCAGCATCAAATATGCTAAAGCCACGAACCCCAGCCTGCCTGCTGGGGGGTCGAGGGAGGGATAGGGTGGCAGCGACGAGTGGGTAGAAATGAGTTGAGCTCCCAAATTCCTTGGGGAAAGGAGAAGCCAGAGAGCAGAGAGCTAGTGTGGGGTGAAGGGGAGAGAGCCAGGGGTGCTGGTGATTCAGTCAGACCCAGGCCAGTTTCCTGAGGATGCTCTTCAGCCTCCCATTCTCCAGGTGCCTCTGTGCTAGCTGGCTCCACCCTCTAGGGCTGTCCTGCACGCTAGGCAGTATGATTGCTTCTGCCCAGCTCCCACTTACAGGATCCCTGTTGCAGGCAGGAGGAAATGCCAGCGCTGGCTCCTGGCTCTTCCCATCCAGTGGCAAAAGTGCATCTCTCTGCTAGTCATAGCAGAGGGTTTATGCCGCTTCCAGGCAGCCCTGGAGTGGGTGGCCTTACAGATGGGTATCTGTCCACACTGGGACTCCCTGCCAGGCAATAATCTCATCACCAAGCAGTGCCACCAAGTGCCAGCGAGTACCTGGGCACACTGCCAGGAACTGGCCCTGCTGGGACACTCTTCTGAGAGTGTGTGCCTTCTCTTTACATTCTTGTGACCAGTAAATTCCTTGCCGAAGGAAAGCCCTGGCCACCTCTGGCACCTGCCAGCCTGGTGTAGCTTCCTAGATTCTATATCTGGGCTGGGGCTCTGGGCTGCACTGGCAGAACCCATGGTTCTCCTGTAGTCACATCTATGCATGTTACACTTTTCCAAGGCTTTTGTCACGCTGACTTTTCTGCTGTCCCCATCTTGTAAAGGAGGCGAAGCAGAAACTGACAGAGAGGAAGCAGCCTTGGAGGTGCTCCTGCAGCCAGTGGGAAAGAGGCATAACTCAGCCATTCAGCCTCTTTCCCTATTCCCTGTGCCCAGTACCTCTGTGCCAGGCTTTCTGCCTTGTCTGCCTCCCTGGCAGCCATGAGGTTTGCCAGGAAAGGTGGGATGTAGGCTCCTGCTTGGGGGAGAAGGGAACACAGCCCAGAAGTCCTGTCAGCTCAGCTACCAAAGGACTCTCGTGCTGCCATTAGGCTCTGGTTGTTGCTGGACTGCACAGATGAAGCCAGCCTCAACCCATTAGATGGGCTGAGTCTTGGAGTCCAGCATTATAGCCTTGTGTGGCCCCATTAGGAAAGGCAGGGGATGTGCAGCTGTGAGAAGGCTGCTGAAGAAACTCTGCAGAGCGAGTGCCAAAGCTAGCCAGGGCCCTGTCACAACGTGACAGAGGCCACAGAGTGCAGAATGTGCCCTATTTGCCCCGTGGGCGTTCAGGTGGAATCTGTGTCTATAGGACCTGCTGGCTGTCATTTTGGAGCTGGGGATCTTGGGGATCTTGGGGAGCTGTCTTCTGAGAGTGGAGGGAGGGGTGTGGGTGAAGTCCAGTACAGCCCCGGAATCCACTCCTTGCTGTGGATTTCTAGCCATGTGACCCTGGCAAGGTCACCTATTTAACTTCTTTAAACTTTAATTTCCTCGTCTATAAAAGAGGACATTAATAATAGTTCTAACTGCCTGGGGTTATTAGAAGAATAT